ACGCAGCATCAAGGAACGACGATGACGACGAGCCCTGGTGAGGCTGTTCTTTCAAAGTTCTCGCAATTTTTGCAGATTCTGCGGTGGTACAATATCGTTGTCTACATTGAAGCTATTACTTAACGCTACTTGGCTTCTAAGTGCCTTTACCTCTAACCAGAGCCAGACGCTGGCGCTAGAGTAAGAAGATGCGCTAAGCGTCGAACCAGGTCCTTGTCGGAAGACATATCGGCGCAATTTATTCCAACCCTTATCAAGGACTTTCCAAACCCGCTGACCAAGAACTTATAATACGCGGGCAAAGATATCCCTACAAGTCAGGCCCCTGGACATGGCACCATGACAGAACAGCACACGACAAAACAGCACGCGACAAAACAGCACGGTCAAAACAGCACGCGTCAAAACAGCACAGCGTCAAAACAGCACGACGACAAAACAGCATGCGTCAAAATAGCACGCGACAAAACAGCACAGCGTCAAAACGGCACAGCGACAGAAGAGCACGTGCCAAAACAGCACGGCGTCGAAACAGCACAGCGTCAGAACAGCACAGCGTCAAAATAGGACATTAAAAATACAGCTAGGGTTGGGCGTTTTCGGTTTTTATTATTTTGAAACTCGGCGTACATCTGTCGGTTTTTATTACAAGCAGAAGTTTTCGGTTGAGTGCTAAAAATATTTGTGGACGGATAAACTTTTCAGTTCCTTTCGGTTTATTGACGAAAACCAGTATGCTGACGAAAATGCAATATTTAAAGGCGTTTGTTTAAAATGAATAGTAAGTAAACCAGGTACTTGATTTCTTATTTGTCGCTGTCTGTGGCAGCCGACGCGACCTGTCCTGCAAGACACAATGGGGCGCTATCATGATCTGATATCATCTTCGTGGGCTTTACACCATAACATGAGCTTTACTACCACTTCGGTCGGAGAGGCGAATATCAAAATCTAAAAATTGGCAAGCATTGTACTCAGTGCGTCTTTCCCCCATTTTCACGGCTGCGAGAGGTGGTTAATTCGCGCAGACCAAGAAACGACCATAATGCAAGCGTATTTATGCCCTCCTCTAGTAGACGGTAGCTAGGGGTGTTAAAAAATGTGCGGCATTTACGGATGCCCTTTAATTTCATTGTACAGTCCACGATTAAACTCTCTTCTTTGAACAAAGAATTCGGCACACAAATTCCTATCAGGTGAAAAACCCAGATTTCGTCATGAAGACCATTACGTCGGTTCAACTTTTGTTGAAAGTTGAACCGATCTCGGAGACAAGCTGAAAACTGCGAAAGGAGGTGGTCATACGGTCAGTAATGAGGCACATTTCCCCACCCACCCCTCCAAACGCCCTTGAAAATACTGACCTTTTTCAGTTAAATCCGAATTTGTAAAAAATATTTCGTCGTACTTTTACCGGTTTTATCAAATTAAACCGAAAATGCTGAACCCTAAATAGAGCCTATGGAGTTAAAAAAATGCATGTCTCAAAGAAGGCACTGTAAAGGAGTGGAGGGTCTTGGCCAATTCCTCCAAGGTCAACTCGTCGACGGCCAATATGTCGAATCCGTTCTCATGGGAGCAAGTTGGGAGCGGGGAGTATACTCGATGCGCACATGAAGGCTCCGTGGGCAGTACCGAAGCCTCCGCTGGTGCGTATTATGGCTCTTTCTCGAGCAGTTTGCTGGGTATGTCGTCTACAATAAATAAATAAATCGCACGGCAACGTGTTGTTGTTAGTTGTTAAAAGAAAAAAAAAAGAAGTGTGTGCGACAACGGTGTGCTTAGCGTTAGCCCATGCTGTACGGCAACAGCATTGAGGCTATGGCATGTTTCTGCTTCACCGGTTTCCACTCGATCGAGGCCCTTCGTCGGCAATAATCTGTGAATTTAACCCAAAACAATTTCTCGCCTGCAAGCTGCAGCTGCGTGTTTCCGGGAAATTTTGTTCATGACGAATGAACCCCACAGAATCCGTGCCCATGGTACATCTTGAATTCGCTCGACATTAAGTTGCCTTATCTTCCCGGTTCTATCAATTCATCTGTAATCGGCGCATCTCCCGCTTTTATTCTTTTTTTTTTTTTTTTTTGGGGGGGGGGGGGACATTTTACGCTTAGGTGGTAATTACGAAACGACGAGTACCCTCACCGGACCGCCGAAAACCAGACGGTTCATAACTTGAACTTATGGATTTCTTTTTTCCAATAACTTTCCCTCTTTCGCTGGATCTAAAAAAAAAAAAAAAAAAAAAAAAAAAAAAAAGACCTGACAACGCGTTAAACATCGACGCGAAGATATCACCTCCAACTACTCAATCTCTTCAGACATCGGCGCAGTTAAGAGGGCGCGGTACCTCTATTTATTCGTCCGTTTCAGCCACCAGATGGCGCGCGGCTCGAAACGTGGTTGAACGCGCAACTTCTAGATGGCGCCAGTATCGAGGTGTGAAAAGGCCCGCGTTATCCGCTGCGTGAAATAGATCCCGAAATCTGCCGTGTTCTCCCGGCGGAGGAAGTTTCTGCATCCCTCGCGCGCGCTTGGTATGTACGCGCGGTGACCGAGTCCGGCCTCTGCGCTGTGTAATGCAGTGGGTGGCGCTCGTTTCTGTTCGGAGGTAGGAATAAAAATGCCGGTCCCCTTTTTTACGACGCTCGTTTCTATAGCTTGTTTTTCTTTTTTTTTTATCTCAAGTGACCTACAGTAGCGCCTGTTCGAAATCGTCCTTTGCGGTGAGCGATTGAGAGTCAGGTTAGCATTTTATTTGGGTCAGCACTACACGTTTAATGGAGACCTCGGGCGGCGATGTAAATATGCATTGCTTCCCAAAGTGTGTCCAAGGTGCGCAATGACAATTGGAAAGGGTATTGAAGGCGCGCAACCGTCGGTTGGTAAAATACGTGCGTTAGATTCACTTATTCAGTCTAATCATTTTTGCCAACGTCTTTCGACAAATGACATGGTCGAGTCTATTGATAACCTTAGCTAGATTGGACGTACGGAGTGTCCGGGCTTTAAATAAATTTGCTTCGTTTATGTGAATGAATAACTGTTTTCTCTTTTCCGTGCTCGGTGCTATGCAAAAATCGCTGAGATGTTATGGTAGCTCAGTGTGGCGGCGTTTTGCACGCTGACTCGCTATTGCATTCGCTGTGCACAATATGTGTTCAGATGGAATGTGCCAAATCGTATTTCCGATCGATATGATAGATTTACTTTGCTACAGTGTTAATTATATTTTCCTGATTTAAACTGGTTCGTCCCTGATCTGAGCCTAAGTTTAAATTCGAAGGGCAGACAGACTTAGCGTCGTAACAGCCGTAATGCGCAGAAAGAAATTAGTACCATGAAAGAAAAACAAAAGGATACGAGGTGGCTCAGTGTTATAGAAGTAATGAGTGTGCAAAGGATGGGATACGGTCCATTCGTCACATGCACACTTGTCACAGGACGATTGGTCACAGGACGATTCGTCACACAGGAAAATTCGCCATAGGATGACTCGTCACGCGGCCAACCGGTCTCACAATAGTTCGTTCCCCCAAAAATGTATTGTTCAATTTGGTTCGGGCGGACAAAGGCGAAGAATTTGTAAGGAACGTTTTAGCTTCTGATTCGGTCCCGAACATTGAATGTTGGTTGGGCCTCAGAAAGTCGGTCACCTCTTATCTTAGCATGTCTTTCGCTTCTCGAGGTCAAAGAATTTGTAACAGACGTTCTAGCTATCTGGGTCCGTCCTGAACGGTGAATGCGGAGGCCATAGAAGAGCGACTATTTTTTAACTACATTCAAAAGGATGGAGGTCATCGCAACAGAGAGAGCCATGATGCTGCACGAGGGGTACTCGTACACATTCGGCAGAAGGAATTCCGATACTTGTTGGTTTTGTCGAATAGGTGTATGCAAGGCAAAACTAAAAACTAATTTGGCTGCCAGTCAGATTATTGCTCGTTCAAGCCTGCAACTGAGATCAACCTGCTGAAGACCCGTAATATAATGAAAGGAAAAGCGGATGAGTATTGTAATATTAGTTTATATAACCATTGGTTTACGTGACAGTGGAAAATTGTGAAACTCCTTATCAGGGTATGTGGGCAGATGTTGAAATTTACAATTTACTATCGTCCCCTGCTCGATCAATGAGACCAGTTGCCCGCATGACGAGTCATCCTGTGACAAATGTTCCTATGTGACGAATCATCCTGTGACCAATCGTCCTGTGACGAATGCGCATGTGACGAATCGTCCTCATCCCGCAAAGGATGCCATCGTACGTGTTTTTTTTTTTTTTTCTTTTTTGTTTTTTTAACTCTCCGCATTGCTGGGAAACGCTCAAGGTACCAGCAAAGACAGCGAGCTGGCGTGAAATTTCCATCGAGCGGAAAACGAGTGTGACTTTTATTTCATCATGCGCTTTCATTTTGATATGGCTCAAAATGGGCGCGAAATAGTAACAGGTAAGGCAACAAAATTTAGATGTTAGGTCTGGAGCACCGCCATACTCAGCCGTGTTGGGGGCATCTCTCGCGAGTCAATACGGCAAAGGTATTGCGCGTCGAACTGTACGTGAGAGTTATCCATTTCAGCGAAACCTTGATTTCGCAAAACTATTGTGGCTCGAGTCGTGGCTTCTAGTACTTGAAAGCCACGAGCGAGAAATAAATGACAGTTGATTTTGAAGGACAATCGCGACGTGGAAACCCATAAAAGAGAGTTCCAATAAGACGAGAGCTTCCCCTTCTCTTCAAGTGCGTGGGTTACGCTCTCAATCCTGCACCTGTGGTAACACCGCAGGCTCCTAAAATGGCTTTAAAAACGTTCCTGATCGCAAAAAATTTTTTTTTTTTTTTGTCGAGGCGCTATTTTATTTTTTTTACTTTTTGTCTACCTTGATACCCCATCAGCGCAAAAACTACCATAAACTAAAAAAAAAAATAGTGGGCATACAACGACAACGCACCCACTGGGACCCGAGTCAAGGCAAGAATAACTACTAAAAGGGGAAAAAAATCATGTTCGCATACACAGACAGAACGCCTCCATCGAAAGAAATGAATCATGCGCTTGTTCTGCCAGTCTCGTTGTGCGTCTGTCAAAAGCCACAAAGGAGGAAGACAATCAGCGCCTACACCACTCCCCTCCACTTCCCCCCCCCCCCCCCCCCCACCACCCCTAAAAAGAAGAAAAGAAAGGTTTCTTGGGCGCGCACGCGGTCGCCCAAGCGATGACC